CTTCAAAACCTTTCCCTGTTTCACTTTCCTTTGGGGGTTCGTGGTGGTATGTCATGTACTGGAAAATTGAATCCTAAGGCTTCACACTATACTGTTTTGTTTTGTTTTGTTTTGTTTTAAAAAAAAAAAAAAAAAAAGGTCTTGCCAGGCATGGTGGTATACACCTATAGTCCCAGCACTCCAGAGACTGAAGTAGGAGGATCACTGTGCCTTCTACGACAGCCTGGACTACAAAATGAGTTCAAGGCGAACCTGAAGGTGAACATAGTGTGGTGAAACATGCATAGTGAAACCCTGTCTCAAAGGGAGAGGGAGGGAGACAGGGAAGGATGGAAGGAGAAAGAAAGACCTGAACTGGTAGCACACACCTGTAATCCCAGCACTCAGGAGGCTGAGGCAGGAGGATCATTACAATCCTCAAGTTTGAAGCCAACCTGGGCTACAAAGTTAGCTCAAGTCCACCGTGAACTGCATATTGAGAACCTGTCGGAGAAAAGAGAAAAAGAGAGAGAGAGAGAGAGAGAGAGAGAGAGAGAGAGAGAGAGAGAGATCAGGGGAGGAGAGGGAAAAGGAGAGGAGAGAGGGGAGTGGGGAGGAGAGGGGAGGGGAAGAGAGGAGAAGAGAGGTGAGGATAGGAGAGAAAAATCTCGATAACTTGCCAGGCAGGGCTCAAAACTGCAATTGTCCTGCCTCAGTCCCCCAGGGTGCTGAGATTCTAAGCCTATGCCACATCTCAAAAGCGTAAACACTGTAACCTGCTCCCCCTCTAACTACATACTTCCTGTCCTCCATTCCGATTTGTCAACGACATACACTACTTATTACTGCAAAGAAAATTATATTGATTTATACTGAAGTAGTTCAGCATTTACTTAACGCATTTGCTCATCTATTAACTATTCCTGTTTCATAATTTTTCCAACATAATGGCTTTTCAATTACATGTTTCTGGTTTTGTGGGGTTTTTTTTGTTTTGTTTTTGCGGAACTGGGGATTGAACTCAGATCCTTGTGTTTGCCAGTCAAGCGCTTATCCTACCGAGCCATCTCCCTGAGAGCCCAGTAGACTAAAGCCCCTGCTTAGGCAAGCTCAGGCAAGCACAGGGACCGAGGTTCGATACTGGACACCACATTCCCCCTCAGGGCAGGCTGAGCTGGCCACAAAGTCTGGGCATAGTGGCATAGGCCTGTAATTCCGGCACTGGGCAGGCTGAAAACAGAAGGATCACTATGAGTATGAACTGTGTAATGAGACCCTGTAACAACCAAATACATCAAATACCTACTTCTGGACAACAGTGCTAGTTTTAATCTGGCAATTTTACTATACTTCAATCTCAAGACTCACAGTAAATATTCTTTTTTCTCTTGTTGGTCCTTAAACAGTCCTCTCAGTATGTGGGTGTTTATTTTATGACATCATAGGTAGACTCCCTATGTTCCCCTATAACAACTAGGTCATTTTCAGGCATGGTGGGGCAAGCTTACAATCCCAGCACCTGGGAGCCTAAGCAGGATGATCAAGAGTTCAAGGCAAGCTGGACAACATAGAGAGACCTTGTCTTTCTGGGAGGCTAAGGGAAGAGGGTAGAAAGTTTATTTTTCTTATTTTTTATTTATTCATTTATTTGCTAGCAACTTTAAACCCAGGCTGAACAACCTGGAAATTTGTCAAGACCTGCCTCCAAATTTCAAAAATAAAAAAATGGAGGGGGGATGTAGCTCAGTGCAAAGGCCTTGGGTTCAACCCCCAGTAAAAATGGGACAGGGGAGGCAGCAAAAGAACTAGGTCATTTTCTTAGTTCTTCCCTTCCAGGACACCATATGTATTCAATGATTCAATTATTCATTGCTTCCTAAACTCACAAGGAAATTGGTCATCTTCAAATCTATGACAATATTAGTGGCACAGTCCTGTACTATTAATTCAATAAACACCCACTGAGTACCTATTTCATGCCAGCTTCAAAAGAAAAATCCCTGCCTTCATGGAGTTTACATTCATTCAAGTACAGAAAAAAACACTGAATATATAAGCATATACTATGACAGAAGAGATGAATGCTACAGATTTTAAACTGAGGTCACAAAAAGCCACCTTTCCGAGGTGGCTTCGGGGGCCGGGTTGGCGGCAGAGGTGGCCGAGGTGGATTCGGAGGCAGAGGCCGGGGAGGCTTTGGAGGGCGAGGTGGCTTCCGAGGAGGCCGGGGAGGAGGTGGAGACCACAAGCCACAAGGAAAGAAGACGAAGTTTGAATAGTCCCTTCTGTCCCTATCTATACCTGTTTGTTGGAAAGAAAGGACTCTGGGGTTTTACTCTGTTACCTGTCGATGACAGAGCCTTCTGAGGACATTCCAGGTGGTGTGCATCCTGTGGTCTGCTTGGGAGTGTAGCGATCACACTTCAGGAGAGGTGTACTTGACATACCCTGTTGGTTTTGACTGGAGATTCATAAACTTTTTAAAAGAGATGAGTGATAAGAGCTAACCCTGATCTGTAAGTTTTGAATTTATATTGTTTCATCCCATGTACAAAACCAAAAAAAAAAAAAAAACCAAAAAGCCACCTTTGAGAAAGTGATACAGATTGCATCTACAGACTATGCAAGGTGACTATTATTAGCAAGTAATGTTTTAAGTATTTCCTGTTAACTTTTAACTATACTAAAATATATTCCAGATAACTAGATCTATACAGTGACATCTTCATGACAATGAATAATCTATACAATTAAACTTACCCCTGGTCATTAAAAAAATTTAATTTCTACATTGATCACTACCATGTATCAAAACCTGTGGTTTGTTTTTTCTATTTTGTTACTGCTTCTTTTTTTTTCTTTTTAATGGTACCGGGAATTGAATTCAAGACCTTGTGCTTGCCAGGCAGATGCTTACAGCGCTGAACTATCTCCTCAGCCCTTGCTTTTCCTATTATGAATACTGGAAACAGGCAGAGAGACAGAGACAGAGACAGACTCTTAACTCTAGTTGCATTGTCTTGAACTTCGATATATTTAAAAGATTAATAATAGCAAAAACTTAAGTTCAATCCCAGGTACTGAAAATAATAGTAATAATAATCTTAAAGACTTAATTCTCAGTATGTGGGTGTTTATTTTATGACATCAGCCATTTACCTTGTTCTTAATTTTTTAAAGAGTCTTTCTCAAGGCACAGCACCTACCCAGCAAGCAGAAGGTCCTGAACTTAATTTGCCATATATAAAAAAAAAAAAGTCCTTCTGAAATGGAATTCTACCACAGAATTAAACACTAATGCCCAAAGGCACTTACTGACTGAATTAAATTTTCTTCTAGACATCTACAGTAGCACTAGCTATGGGCCATCATCCTTGGGACAGTGCGAAAACAGGCTTTCAACTCAGTTATGAGAAGAGGAACAGAATAAACAAAGCCAAGGAAACTCATTTCTATGCACTAATAAAAGAGTAAAAATCATTCTTCATTGGTCTGAATTTTTTTGTGGAATGGGGTATAAGGAAGGGTGGGGGAAATTACACAAAAGGTGGAAGAAAAAAAGCCAGACTTTTCTGAAATAATAACAGATAAAATCTTCCTCCAAAAAAGTTCAATATTTAGCTGGGCATGGTGGTGCACACTTTTAATCTCAGCATTTGAGAAGCTGAGGCAAGAGGATTGCTGAGAGTTTGAAGCCAGCCTGACTACAAAGTGAGTTGAAGGCCTGCCTGAAAGGCACAGTGAAAGAAACCCTGTCTCAAAAAGACAAAAAAAAAAAAAAAAAGTTCAATATTTGACCGCCTGTATGGTTGACTGATTTGACTGACTGATTGACTGCATACTGTGGACTGAACCCAGGGCCTTCACACTAAGCTACATTTCCAACCCCTTTTTATTTTGACCCAAGGTCTCTCTAAATTTAAATTGCCCAGGCTGACCTCAAACTTAGGATACTCCTGCCTCATCCGGATTATAGGTTTGTGTCATCACACCCAGCTTCTAGGTACAATTTTAAAAGGAACTTCCTATTTGGTTATAATATTAAGAAACATAAAATTCATAAACGCTGCTAATTTGCTACTTTAAAAAAAGCTGTCTTAACGTCATAAATCAAGAAAGTATTTGCTGAATCACGTATGTATTGTTTCCTAATATACAACCTGTAGTATAAAACCTGGAAAATCACGAGTTACGCTTAGTACACAAGTTATTATATCCAAGTCTGGCCCTAAAAATCAGTTAAAAGTAGTCATCAGTTTACAAATAACAGAGAAGAGAAAGGGATCCTAACCAGACGCTCTGAATTCACTGTTACCAAGTTGGAGCAAGATCATACATTTAGCCTGTGTCTTGAGACAAATAGGGAGAAGCCAAGAACAGTAACAAACTGCCAGTTTACTGAGTCATGTTTCTGACTAAAACTGTTTTATGAAACGGAAAGAATGACATTTGGGAGGTTTAATCATCACAGATGTTAACTCCCTGGTCAAAAGGGTGTCGGACGCAAAACTCTTCAGTAAGAACGATGGGGGACTGAAAGGACTCCAGAAACAACTTGTCAAAGCGGTAACCAGTTATTTACCTAAATCTGACCCTAACTGTGCCAACAGTCACGCCCTGCGAGGCTCACCAGCGCGAGCGCCAGGTGGGGGACCGAGCGCACCGCGAGGCAAGCGGCTGTTGCGGAGACCCAGCCGCGCCGACGCCCCGCACCGAGCCCGCCCTTGTCAGCCCGCCGCCTCCAGCCGGGGCCTGAGGACGACGCCCCCACCTCGGCCCCGGGTGGCCTCGACCTCTGCCCCAGCCCGGCGCCGC